ATGCTGTGACTCTTCTGAGGATCTGGCTGCTAAGGAAGGAGGGTCACTACCAGAATACAAATACCAAGCACTCCCAATTGCCACCCAGCTTCATCAGTCTTGGAAGCAGAAGAAATCCTCCTGCACTTTGTGATACTTAGTGGATTTGCAAAATCTTAGCTTTGCCTGTTTTTCAGTGTCCTTTTTTATTTGCCTATGGAATAAACCAAATGAAAATATTCAAACTAAGAAATAAGACCTGTTGTGTGCCTAGAAAGAAATATATCTGTTAAGATCAGTAACAATTACATGACAAAACCCCTATGGACTAATTAGTAGTCAGCAAACAAACACTGGTTTTCTAACAGAGATTTTTTTTTTTTTAATTTTTTCCCCCTCTGATAATCTGCCAGCTCCTCAAGCATATTTCTTCACCTCCTAATATTTTGAAAGGCACAGTCACTGTCTCTTGCATCTTTAGCACCCACCAATTCTAATCAAAATATCAGCAATGAAGATGGATATCCCTGTCAGGCCTCACTTCATCTCCTAGTAGAGCAAGGAGGCAAAGCCAGTGTCATAAATCACCTTCCTTCAAGGGTATAGTCAAGTGACATGAGAAGTTAAAGGTTTAAAATAAAGTTTCAACTTCACCTGTCACTTTCTCTGTCACAGAATGACAAAATCCTAGTGGATACAGTCTAGGTCGAGGAAGGAGAGAGAGTCTTATGGTCCATATTGCCAGCTATCTCCAGGCCTAGTACTAGTTGTAATCCTTGGAAATGTTCAATGGTTCTATGTTTCTATGGCCAGGAGAAGCTAATTTGCAGCTGTTAGTATCTTTTCAACAGTTATATAAATTCCTTAGGCTGAGAATTTTCTCTGATAATGCATGAAGGGCAAGAATCAAAGCCCAGCAAGTCCATGGATTGCATCTCAGTAGGCTTTGATTCTCTTTGGACGTGACACCCAGCTACAAAATGAAAGGGCAGAGCTGCACAGAATATTCAAGAACACTGTGGAAAGGAGCATAGCGAGGGAGGGCTGGCTGGAAATACCCAGCACTTTTTCAGGTCTGTAAAAACAGATGACAAATAGAAAATAAAGCAGCAGCCAGAATGACCTTCCAACACAAAATATTTCCCTCCATCAATCCTAACAAAAAGGCGTTGTAGTAGGCCTCCAGTAGTCTGTGTGCTCAAGCCAGGAGCCAATCCTGTCTTCTTAATTCTTGGGGGCTTTTTCAGCCTTAAGAGTGGCCAGTCTGCTTTTGGGGTTGGTTTCCCAAGAGTGGAAAAAAGGTAGTGATAACTGAAATGTGCATGCTGTAGAAAATCTGTTATCCAAACTGTGACTCTTCTGCTTTATCACTAGCCACTACAACACTGCCTTTGAGTCTCAGATTTTTTTACTGACCATAAGGTCCCTGTAATTAAACCATGATTTTGTTCCAGAAAGTGACCCTAGGTTAAAAAAAAAAAAAGGAAATAAAGGCATCAAATGATTCCACATAACTGCAAATGATATCTTCAACTAACTTCATACGATGTCATGAATGTCAGTGGGATTGCAGGGATCTGGAAGGTGGATTTGGACTGCAGAACCATAAATCCTATGGGACAGCAGCTAGAAAAACACCAGTCAACTTGCACAGCCCAAGCCAAGCTGCAGAGCTGATGGGTACAGCTAAATCATGCTGTAAACGTATAAAGTGAAAAAATGTTCCAGATGGTGTGTTCTTCCCCTTAAATCCTCTCAGGTCTCACCTGGGGATATGAGTACCTCTAGACGTAGTGATAAAAAAAGAGGCAATACCTAAGAAAAGAAGTCTAATATACAAAAAAAAAAAAAAAATTGAGCTCTACATGAGTGGTTTATTGCAAAAATCTTAAACTTTCTATACATATTTTTCTTTGGTTATCAATAGCCTATTCTTTTCTAATTTCATAACCTAAGCAAGAAGGGAACAGATCAAACAAATGCTGTCATAAGAAGTCAAAGACATTTTATGCTTTGCTAGATCCCATTGCTGAAATGTCTGATATTAGAAACAATAGAGCAAAATATTTAAATGACTAACAGCTATTTAAGAATAAATGTGCCTGGCATAAGTTGCATGGACAGTAAGAAAATAAAAATTAAGGAAAATTGCTCAAATAAAAAGCATAAGATGCAGATTTCAATAGATTACAACATGCAGGCCAGCATATTCTAGCTGCTATTGCTCTATTTGGCTTAAGAAACAAAACTATTTAGGATAATTATAATTACAACCAGTAAGAATTTCCACATTTGAGGATACATTAATATTTCAACATTTGTTTTCATGCTGAATCAGAATTATAAAAATTAAATTCTTCTCAGAGAAAAATTCTGAAATTATGATTTTTAGGTATTCCATATAGATACTGTCAAAGCACTGCCCTACGTATATCAATATCTGCAGCATTTAGTAGAAACCTAGCTTTTAATTCATTATTCCAATACAATTACGAAGTCAACATAAAAGGAATAGGAAAATTTAACTCTTTCAACTCACAAAACAGAATATTTTGATGTTAAACAAGAATGTTGTGGAGGAGATTCTAAGCACTGTGGAAATGTCTGCATACTGGCTAAGTTTTGACACCTTACAGCTCCACTTCTCTTTGACAATATCCTGATCATGAAGTCTGTCTTTCCTTCTTGTTTCTTTCCTTCCTTTCATTTTTTTTCTTTATATGATGATAAAACAATAAATATGATCACGATAAAGCAATTTTACTAGTGTATGTGAATTTATTTTTTTTCAATTTATTTTTCTTTCAATGCCTATATGGAAGCCTTCACATCTTAGGACTAATGTGCAAAATCGAATCCTCTTAAAACCCAGGCAAGGCAAAGAAGCAGATAAAATGATGGACAAAGAGAGATGTGCATTTCAGAGGAGAGCTAGGATTAGAAGCAGCATAGCCCTGATAAAATGATGGACAAAGAGAGATGTGCATTTCAGAGGAGAGCTTCAGAATGTCATGCTTCTGGAAAAACAGCTCAGTGCATCAGTTCACAGGAGAGATTGGCCAGCTAAAGTGCTGTGCATAACCTCAACTTTTATGTCTATTTCTGACCACAAAATTGATGCCTGTGGGAGTGCAGGTAGTGGGTGGTACACCTGCAGGAGTTTGTTAGTTCAGATCTTCTGGAGGCAGATCCTGCCTGTCCCAGCAGCCTGCTTGGCTTGCATCCCAGAGGCATCTGGGCTGTGGAAGAAGAGGCCCTTCACGAGACACTCCTGGGTGTGCAGGTGTTCAGGCTATGCCATGGACTTGGTCCAAGGTAAAAACCCCTGGAGCACCAGATCCCTTTTCCTCCAGTCTGCTTCTGCTGAGCTAGTGCAGACATAGCCATAAAATTCCATATACCATTCACCAAATGTAGAATATTCCTGCAACTCCTTAGTTGAGATTGGACCTTTTGAAAGTATTTGTGAAGCACAATCCTTGGAGCACCAGATCCCTTTTCCTCCAGTCTGCTTCTGCTGAGCTAGTGCAGACATAGCCATAAAATTCCATATACCATTCACCAAATTTAGAATATTCCTGCAACTCCTTAGTTGAGACGAGCTTTTGAAAGTATTTGTGAAGCACAATCCCTAAGAAACATGGTAAAATGCTATGGAAACATACACATCTTATGGCAAACCACAGCACAGGTGGTTTGTTACCCACCCATGAAGGTGGTGCTTATTGGAAGGTAGAGAAGTTCTCCTGCACTCCCTGACCTGTCTTTGTACCCCTTAGTCTGCTCCTCCATGTCTGGAAACTGGGTAACCAGGCAGGATGTCTCCTGTGACACCCTCACAGTAGATGTGTCAGCAGCACTGGGAGGGGACCAGCTGTCGTGACCACACTCACAAATGCCTAGTTCATTGAAAAGCCAAGCTGCAGACCACAATAACCTGCTGTTCTCCCTCTGACAGGCAACTGCATCAAAAGCTTTGCTGGAAGTAGGGGAAAATAATGCTTGGTGATGAGGTGTTTAACCCCACAGCAAGAGCTGCAGTTCCACAGCCCAGTTCATCCTGTCCCTGCCCTGCACAGGCTGGGCCCCCCAGCCCTGACCTACACGGTCCCCAGAGGGAATGCTACAGTGCCTCCTTGTACAACTCTGGGCACCTCTGCCACTGCTTCAAGTGGCCTGCCCGTGTGTTGGACAAGCAAAGGATTTCCACAGAGCAGCCTCCACACCCAGGCACCTGCACGTGGTGCCTAAAGATGGGCTCTGCAGGGATTTGCTCTTCACTTTTCTTTTCAATAAACTGTCTCCGATAATTGCCTTGGCTTTAGAGCTGAAGGCCTCTGGAGTAATGAACAACTGTTATTTCTAGTACAATGGGATCGTTGCCTGTAATGTTATCCCTTAATTGCTACTGCGGTGCAAATTATGAAAAGTAAGAATATCCAAATATAGAGACACTTGGCCCTTGTGACAGGAAATTAAGGTCTCTTCTCTGGCACTGCTGCATGCCCTGAACTCCCACTCAAGTCAAAATGAATTACATACATTCAATATTTTGAAAAACAAGCTCTTAACCTCTACAAACGAGCTTATAGAGTTCATATCATATGTGTTCTGGCAATCCCTATAAATGTTCAATCCTTTTTCAGATCCTACTAATCTTCTGGGCATCCAAGTTCTTTCAGAGTTAAAGGCAAAACTTGCCATTAACTTTGCTGAAAAGGATGAAGTATACTTTTAAAAAATAATGAATAAATCTGTGGATGCATTATCTTTTGAAGTTTTAGTGGTTTGGGTTGCTTGATTGGTTATTTTTTAACAGCAAGAAAAAGCAAGCAAATGTTTCTGTATCATCCAAAATATCAAATCTCCTATCTTCCTTCCTATTTTTGACACCTTGAGAGTCTATCATTTTCAGCATCTTGGATAAAAGCTTTTCTATACCTGTTCATGCCTTGCTTTGGTGCTGTACTCCTAGAAGCAATAATGACCAGAACAAACTTAGACATCTGAGAATAAGTGTGTTATCTCTACAATGCCTTTTTAATATTTCAGGCATTAAGAGTCTAAATGCTTAATCTCCACTCTGAAGTGTCTGAAAAGCATGGTATTGTCAAACAAAAGCAGTAAACTGCTGAGGAAAGTTCCAATCCTTCTCTTACTGATGTCAGTGGGAATTTTGCCAGGAAGCTCAGCATGACAAGAGTATAGACCAAAGTAATCAGTTCTACAGATGATTACATGAAAAGCCCTTCATTATAGCATGATGATTGAGTATTATTACAGTCATGAGACACAGACATCTTCTGGAACCAAAACCAAGAAAAAGAATGTATTAAGGCTATTCCTCCTCCGAGTTGGGCCTGTTTGGCAGTGGCCTTTCATCAGATGACTTTTCACATGTCAGCACAGCTACTTTGGTATTGGCCACAGCCTGATATGTACAGCGAAATGAGCCCAGATTTCCTGCTGCACAGTTCCTCTCTGCTAAAGGTTTCTCAGCCCATGAAAGCTGTGTCGTTTGGTAAGTAAAATATTTTTGGCAAACTCAGGAACATCACACTTTGTTGTCCATCTTCTCACTTCAGTTCAAGTTCAGTCTTGCTCCACAGGTGCCTCTTCCAGGCTGGAGAAGGGAAAGCTCATGTGTGACGGCTGATGTCTTGACGAAGGGACACTGTGGCACAGACCCCCAGAGCCAGACGCCCGCTTCTGCAGCCTCACCCAGCCTGCCCAGTGCTCGAGCTGAGAGCAGGAGGGAGCAGGAGGTTATGGCCATGAACTGGGCACTGAGGGCACGGATGATGCGTGCAAGCTAGCAGGGCGCCCTTGCAAACTCGTTCAGGATCTTCGCGTTCTTCAGGGAGCATTTGTTAGGCAGATACACTGATGCAGTTTTGCACAGTTCATCCAAGAAAGTGAAGTTTCACAGTACCCTGCAAAAGCAAAGTCTGTATGAAGATGGGAATATGACTAGAGTTTGTATTAACTTTGGATTACAGTGTTTTATTATTACTTATGTGTAAGGAGGTTAATTTTCTCTCTATTACTTGGGGATCAAACAGAAGTCTGCGTTCTCTACTGAAATCAGTCCTTTGTCAGCTTAGCAAAATCTGTATTAATAAAGACAAAATGTAAATATTTATAAAACACGCACAGTCATCCCTCAGTGTTACTAAATCATTAATAGTGTCTGGTTCTGGTTTGTATTGTCATAGTCACAGGAAGATGCAGTGATGACAGTAGGAAAATACACATCCACAGCAAGTTTTAGATACATTTTGGGGAGGATTTTCTTCACTCCCTTACTTAGGAGAGGAGTTCTAATGGTGCATTTTGATTTATTTTTCACATGTGTATGTTGCTTATTTTTCTTATCTGAAAGGAACTGTGACATTCTCCCACTACTTCTTGCCTGAAACTGCTCTCTGGATTGCAGTTCTGATTGTCTCTTCTTGAAATTATCATTAAAATGGTACACTGGCAAAAAAACATTTGTCATGGTTAGGGATTCTGAAATATTTTCTGTTATTTTCATAATAGCAGTTAATAATTCCCTGAAGCTATGCATTCGATTAAATACCTTTTCTTTCTGCAGTCCTCTGAAACAGTGCTAAAAAGTCACTGCTTTTTCATTTTAACCTCTCAAGTGATGGGCAACAATCAGTTGCCTAGCAAGCACAAGTACTATTGTTTGTGCTAAAAGGTCAAGACAAAAATGTGCTGAAAACTTTCTGGATACTTATATAAAGAGATGAGTTATGACTTGGGAGTTATTTATTGCACAGAAGAGTCTGTATTTGACCCTCTGCATCCTGCTCTCATGTACTTTATGTCACTTTAAGGAGAGGAATAACTATTTCTCAAACAAACATTCTGGTATTACAGAAAGATAACAGCTACCTCTCAGTTTAGATGAACTCAGAAATATGCCTAGAAAATCATTTTTCATCTGCTATAGAAACGTCAGAGTTCCAGCTTAAGCAACAGCAGTATGAAATCCTTTTCTCTCTTTGACCATGTACTAAAGGAGCCAGTAAATGAAAAGCTATTGTGTTTATTTTCTATGGGCAGATACCACATAATAATGTGGTAATACTTTTAATGGAAATCCATCACACAATATATGTATTACAGTTCAGAATATACCATCTACTCTAACCTATACCATGCCTCAGTTTTTGAGATCTTTGTACTGAGCAGCTCCCGTGTCACATGGTGCAAACATGCTGCACCTCTCAGTTGTGTGGATGTATCTCTGGGGTGCCACAAGCTCAATTAGTGCAACATTATTTTCATACAGAAACCTTTGGAAGTGAGAGCTCAGTCTGGGTTTAGGCTTTGTGCAAATCATAGTGGGAGGGTATAACGAGAATCTATGTGTTTTATACAAAGAGATTTGGCACACCTATAGCTCCTATGGTCTGGAAGTGAAATTAAACTGCCTGTCTACCACCAGCAGTAAAACCAGCAGTTTTGAGGGGGGTGCCGGGGGGGCGGGGGGGGGTGTTGTAGATGGAACCTCAGCTATCTTTCTTGTGGTTTTTAAGACACAGGAAAAATTTATAGGTAAAACAAGAGAGAGCCCAGCATCTGTGTCACGTATTGTGCAAAGCTGTCCTGTCAGCCACACAGTACACTAGAAGGCATCACTGCATCCTGTGTCTACTACAGCATAACAAGAAAGTCTGACAGACAAAGCATTCACTTTACTCTCACACAAAGTAACAGATCTGTCTGGACTAGGCAACCAAGGTGAAGCAAAATGCTTCCCCTTTCCTTACCTACTGCTATGGATGCATAAAAAGTGGATGGCACATGAAAACATGAGGAGAGAAGAAAGAAGCTTCTTATCTTTATTGAACTCTAAAACTTTGCCACCAAGTTTCCAAATTCAAAATACTTTCTTTTTCTGCCTCATCTGTCTCAACACAGACCACCAGCTAACTCATATCTGGGTCCTGCAGTGAGCTCAGCTGGGCTGGCACAGCCTCTGGCAGCATCTGGAGTTCAGGCAGGTTCAGCATCCCACTTGCAGGGACTCTGGCAGGGTCAGGACTCTGTCAACTGATCCAGAAGTCTAAGTGGCTATGCAAATGTTTACAGAAGCATTAAAATAAAATTTCCTTTGTGTTATTAATTATTCTTTCCCTCCAACTGTATTGTTTGTATCAACCATTTCTGAAATTACTGTTCTGGAAGCAAATGCACTTGCATTCTCACAGATTTTTTTATTTGATGATATTTCTCAAAATCATACAATCACAGAATATTAAAATGGTTTGAGTTGGAAGGACCTTAAAGATCATCTAGTTCCAACACTCCTGCCATGGCCAAGAACACCTTCCAATATACCAGGTTGTTCAGGGCCACCATCCAATGTGGCCTTGGACACTTCCAGGGATGAGACAGTCACAACTTCACTGGGCAACCTGTTTCAGTGCCTTACTACCCTTATAGCAAAGAATTTATTCTGGATATCTCATCTAAACCTGCCCTCTTTCAGTCTAAAGCCATCCTTCCTTGTTCTATCACTACAAGCCCTTGTAGAAAATCCTTTCTCAGATCTTTTGTAGGCCTTCTTTAGGTATTGGAAGGTGCTATAAGGTTTCCCCAGAGTTTTCTCTTCTCCAGGCTGAACAACTCCAACATTCTCATCCTGTCTTCACAGGAGAAGTACTTTTTAACACCTTAAAAAAATAAAGGAAGAAGAGGTGGAGAGGTGTTTATGATCTAATATCCTTCCTAATAACCACAGTAACCTGAATCTTCTAGAGAAAATTAGCATTTATCTCTTCCCTGGTGTAAATCATTCTAGCCCACTTTCTCAATTTGCCTGATGGTGAAGTATTGCTAAGCAACACCACACTTGCAGGTCAGCTGCCACTTCATGACTATGCCAATGTCAATTTTTTAAGGCCCACACGATATCTTTTTCAGAGATTATGTTGCCATTTAAGAGCATTTAAAACTACTTAGCTAATCTTCCTACCGTAATACTAGCTCTTGCTTAGTCTAAAGCTGCGTTGCTATGGATGAATATTGCTTGGAGTGTCTAAATATTTGGAAGTAAAACCAGCCATTTTCTTCAGTGGTATAATGAAGTATGGTATAAGATCAAGCCTGATTTTAATTATAAGTTGTCCTTTATCTTACTCTGCCTGCCTTCCCTGTTTTTCATGCCAACAGCAACTGTTTAATTGGACTTGAAGGAAAGCTACACAGTTAGCCTCAAGTAGCAGATGAATCATTCTAATGTCTGATAACTTTTCCAAATAAAGGCCTCTCTCTCCAGGAGCAAATGTCAGCCTCCATCACTTAACAAGCTTATCTGAGCCCATGTAGTGAGCAGGGACATGCTCACACCGAAAAGCTAATGGTGGGATTGTCAGTGTGTTGCCAAACTTCTGAGTAGTACAGTGATATTGCTGACTTCCAGACAAAGTTCAGCACACAGCCTGTGCCTGAGCAAGCACTGAAAAGTAACAGGTATAGGACAAATTGCAAAAATTCCAAACCACACAGCCCGCAAAAATGTAAGGTGCTCCTCAGTGGGCCTCCACTGGTGCTGGAGCATCTCCTGCTCTTGATCTGCCCAGGTGCTCCAGAGGTGCCCTTCCTCTGGGAAGCCCTAGCATTGCCCATACAGTTTGATCCAGATATTCACCGACTTCAAAGTGCCAACTAAACACGGGTTTTCATAAAAGTAAGCATTTGGATACAGCACAGAGACTTTTTTAATGCCAAGCATCTCATTAAATTGTCAACTTCCTTGCAAGCATCACTTGGAGTAGCAAGAACAAGCATGGGAGATAAAATTCTCCGGCGACCTGCGCTGGTAAACCAGGGCTTCCAGAGCCAAGCGCTCAGGGCTGAGAGTTCAAGCAGTGCTTGGCTTGCACCCAAGCCCCAGGAGCCCAGGGAAGCCAAGGCAGAGCCATGGAGCAGGCTCCTCTTTACGCCCTGGTGGCATGTTTGCTGGGCAGCATCTCCCTCTGGAGGCTCTCCCCAGATCCTGCTTCCCATCACCAGCCCCAGCTGGGCAGGAGAGTCCACCCCAAAGCACCACCTGAATGTGAGGCTTGGGTGAACCTGATTTTAATAGATGTCTGGCTCAAAATAGTACCTTCAGACTAAAAGAGCATTCTGTAAAATTAACATTTCAGGAATTGTTTTTCTAATCTGTTACTGAGTCTGTGAACCTTTCAGGATGGCTTTTTTCTCCAATCCTGATTATTAGACACACATTTTTCCTAAAATTATGGGGAGGCTAATGGAATCAGATGAAATTAGAAAGTCAAAGTTGATGATTCTAAGAATAGAATCTAATCAAACACAAACATGACAGTTGTCATCACTGTCACAGTATTTACAGCAATTTTTCTGTTAAATTATCCATGTGTTTTCACCAACATAGAGGTTAGTCATTCAAGCCATTTTAATTATATTTTTATATTGCTGTCTCATTTTTTATTTGTTTGGATTTCTTGTTTATTGGATCTTTGATGGGATCCATACATACTGAGGTTTCTCATACTGCTCTGAAGCTATATTTGGATTATCACAACCTTCAAAATCTCAAAGATGATCCTAAGAAAATTGAAAAGATGGAACCAAAGTTTTCACAGAGATCCAGTGACTCCAGTAAACCTCTACAGAGCCCCAGGATCTCCCTCATCACAGGGACAGCAATATGCTGCCTGATTTTTTTTTTGATTTTTTTTTTTTGGATGGAAAAGACAGAACACTCACATGCATTCAGCATGATAAAGACTGAAAGTCAAAAATTTCTATCCAGCTTCTAAAATGTCAAGCAAAATGTCAGGTAGCACAGTAATAAAAAAGGAACATCTGACATGAAACAGGAGTACTCTGATTAGCACGTTGCTTTCTAATGAATGTCACACATTCAGCAAAACCACTGGCCTTCAGAAGTAATGAAGTAGTGACTGGATGAAAAAAAATCACAGCAGTTCATCAGTAACTCCCAGAAAAGCTCCTTTATGAAGTGAATCTTTCTTTGGATACTTCTGTAATTGGACACATCTTAGGATCAAATTCTCACATCAAAGGGTAGACATTAAGACCTCACCAGAGGCAGTGGATCTTTATGGATCTAAGAATAAAAGTTGGCATTCATTGGTGTTCCTCTAGGGAGAAGGGAAAGTAGAGAAAAATAAGTTTTAATTAATGGTGATCATCTGATGGAGAATGACAGACCTTTATAGAGATGGTGATCCAAGGTAATTAAATTAGATGATGGAGACTTCTCTTGCTGCCACTTGAGACAGAAGAGCCAAGGAAGAGTGGCCATCCTAAAAATAATTATTTATGAAACCCACAAAATAGGTCCAGTGGACTAAACCCCTGTACATTACAGGAAGTGAACCTGAACTAAATCCTGCACAGCAAAACCTGTTTTGCAGATGGGGAAAATTAAATTTGCAGAGCACATGCTTGATTTTTCAATCAATTATTATTACCACCCTGCAACCCAAGGGAAGTCTACTATCAGTGAAACACAAGACCAAGGATGCTTCTGGCCAAAGGAATCTGTAGTCAAGGCAGACAACTCATGAGACATGAAATAAACTATGCCTTACAATTCTGTTTTTCATCTGTCTCACTGCAAATGTTCCTGTCTAACTCCTAACACCTGCCACCTTTAACGCAGTCCTCCAGTAAGCTGTTTCTCAATGTTAGTACAAGTGTTTACTGTACCAAAATCAGTCTTCTCTTTTTCAACACAGTGCTTTGAGAGACACAATGTAGAATGTTTTATTACCCTCTAGACATTTTACAATGTCTAGTAATTTTATATTTTCCCCTCAGAAAGGTGGCATTATCCGCTTTGATTTTATACTTTTAAATTCATGTGTGCTCACATTAGCTCATTTGCTCATACTTCAGATATTCAAAGACATCCTTTTCTACCATTTGTATCAGTAATTAACCATAGCTAAACAGGCAACTTACTGAATGGCAATGGTGGGATTCCTTGCTTCAATATATTAAAGAATCACATCCCTTCTCCCCTACATATTTATTGTCTCTTTACAGATTTATTATCTCTTCAGCTACCTACACAGGTGTTTTTCTTCAGCTGTTTCTCAACTGGTTACAAATATCCAAAATTCTTAATAGAGGATCAGACCATTATTCTGACCTAAAGATCAGAGTAAGTCTTTTTACATATTTTATTTTTATTAATTGATATAACTTGTATGCAGTTCTGTTGGTACACGATTATCCCACTTCTTTTTGACAGCCCCTGTAAACATCCCATTTGAATGCTCAATAATTTGGTGTATATTGCTATCCTTTTACTGTTCATTTTATTGGGATACCTAAAAAATCCTGACATTTTTTGGAATCAGCTTCCTTTGAAGTTCAACGGGATATAACCACCTACTGTCCTTTGCATCTTTTCACAGCTGTAGTCACAAAATATTGTGCATTTATAATATAATAATAATCACTTGGCAGAATAACAGCAACCCAGAGGACCAAGTATATAACTGCTTAATAGATCACAGCTATGGGCTCATAAAGAACAGAACTGTAGAAGTATCTATATCTAAAATGACAAAAATTCTCAAATTATAAAACCACAGCATTTGAACAGTTTAGTATTTTCCTGATACTAGCCATAATTAAATTAGATTTTACAGCTACTGCTACAGATTTCTAGAACTAAAAAATATTATCAAGTACAGGATGTTGCTAGATAAAGAGTCATCAAATATGAAATACCCACGATGGAGAGCTTCAGTTGCTGGTACACAAGCTGCCCAAATGCCATGAGACTGAGTTTACAGATGCAGTTTCTGGACTCCACCAATGATTGCTTCATACAGCTGAAAATCCTACAAAACATGGGAAAAATCACTTTTGTGGATTCAATCCTAACCAACATTGTGGAGTAAGCTCAGAGGTAGATAGATGCTGAAGCACTTAAAGCTGGAGCTTCTGGAAAGTTCTGTAGCTTCCAAAAAACATACATATTTTTCAGGCAGCTGTGTGTGACCAGTATCACTAGTAAACAACAGCTGGAGCACATCAGGAGAGCTTCTAGACTGCACTGTGTGCTGCTCAAAGAGAAGGCCTCTCACACTCACTGGGTGTGATGTGATCCAAGGTCTGTAAAATGGCAATAACCAGCATAACCATTTAAAATACATTCTCTTGATCCAAATCAAAACACTAATGTAGATGCTTTTCATTAATCCCATGCACTGGTAGTTAAGTCCTTCTATTACAGGTTTGCAATGCTGTTGCTGTGTCATGGTGCTCGTTCTTGACACATTTTATCTTCAGTAAAAAAAATAAAATTAAGACTTAGAAGAAATATTGCTTGACAGTGGGTCAGATGAGTACCCTGAAAGTGTAATTTAGCTTTCTGGGCATTTGGTTTAAAAGAAGGTTTTTCCTAAAATAAGCAATGCAGGAACCTTTGCAACTGAACTCAAGCATTTCAAAGACCTTGAGAGAGACTTTATCAGTAAGGAATTGCCACCTGTAGATAAACAGAGATGGGGAAGGCAAGAGAAAGAAAGCCAAACCCAGCCCAGCCAAGCTAAGCCAAGCCATGAAATGGAAGGCAAAGCAAGGCAGGGCAAGGCCAGAGAAAGCATACCATAGATTTGTTGTGAATTCTGTGAGGTTTGTTATGTGAACATGTTTGGTATCACAAAGCTGCCAAGTGCAAGATAACTTTCACAGATCTGTCAGGCAGCTGTGTTACAAGCCCTGCCTGCTCATGTCCAGGACTCAGCTGGGCTGCAGCCAGAGCTCCTTCTTCAGTCTCCTTAGAGACTGCTGGAGGAAGGTAGGTATGTTGCTAAAGCCACATAATCTCAAAATTCACTGGGGCCAAATGTAGATCTAATCAGGGAGAGAAAGGGGCTCAGTAGTGTCCACTTCCCTACATCCTAGCACTCCTGCATGCTCTTAGGGTGCACTCTGAATTCTAGATTTGCTGCCTCCTTGAAACATCTCTCTCTGTGCAATGTTCTTTTGCCTCCCAACAGTCTTCTCCATTTCTTCCATGCATATCCTCTGCTCCCAGACTTGAATACTGCAGTGGGTACCACACTGCATCACTTTTTCACGGGTGGAAATATCAATTAAAAATATTTGAGTGGTTATTTTCAACAGCAACAAATGAGTTGTCATAGACAAGTACAGAAATAAAGTCCTCAGAATTCACATTCACACGTGAATTAAAGTCTTCACATTAAAAGCAAACCTTGGTTAGATGCTATAAGCCAGATTTTGCAATTGAGAGTCTAATAATTTCCAAAAAAATGGTGTTAGAGAATGTACATGCAACATACAAGCATAAAGATTTTCTGTGTCATATACTTCTTTGTATTTCCACCTATATTTTTGTACAAATAATGAATGCATAAGAGACTCATTTCCCCACAAAATACAAAAATGAAAGTGCTTGCTGTAAAAATGCAGACAAGTTTAGCCAGGAGATAACTCTAGTTTAGGATGGATTAATTGTTCATTATTATTCTTTACAAACTTTGCAGGAAGCCTGAGAGATAAAAACTGGTCCAAGGTCTCTATTTTCACTGTCAGTGATGCTTGTGCAAAATCAAAAAAGAATATATATCTTGGCATGACAGTAAGGCACCAACAGCCCAAGGCTATTCCTTTTCTACACAGATTTCAGTGTGAAAATGGTAGGAAAACCAAAATAATTTTCAAGCTGCTAGAGGGTACTGTCAACTGTGAAAAACAGAAAGACAGCTATAAACATAATTATTCAAGTGCACCCTCTGAACTAACAGGAAGATTTTGAAGGGCTAGCACAGAATTTTTAAAACATGCTAAGCAAGACATAGTAAACTATTATGGTGGTTTCCTTCTTTATAAAATACTTTTACAAAAGAGATATTAAGCAGATTGATTTGCTTCTCAGCAGAATGCAGGTGGAGGATAAGACCCGGGTAAGGGGTAAGTTTTTAACTCCATTTCTTCAGCATCTCTGTTAGATGTTTTGCATAACAGTACCTTCTGAAGAAATTTGCTTGAGATCAAACTCTAAGTATCAATTAAGACTTTACTGGAAAATCTACAGGAGTGAAGAATGAATATTTGATCCTTAGGCATGTAAATGAAGAGGTCATATTCAAAGTATTTTTCCTTTTGCAACATGAAAGAGAAGATTCCCAAAGGATCACTTGTGTGCTGTCACTGGTCTGTGAGCCCCTTCAAAAGGCACATGCCCTGGAAGAAAAAGGCACCCATTGCTGTGGTGGCACCTGTTACTGCAGCTGCTGCTCTTCCAGGTGCATGGCAAAAGAGGGCAGTGGAGCACTGTACATTTCAACAGATTAAACTAATGATCCCTGCAGGTCTTTTCTCTACATTTCTTTGCTGCAAAAATTATTACAATACCTAAGAAAGCAATTATATTGTATTAATAACATCCAGACAGTTTAAAGAGAACATCTCTTTTGCTTTCACTGAAAATAGCATTTCTCTCCCAGCAAGCCTTATAATCGATTGACTGAAATTTCATTACTTCCAAATCTCCAGTCACAGGAGGCATTGCATTTTCACCCACTAACAGGATTCTCCATGTTGGTTTTTTTTGCATTATCTCTTTCACATGCTTTCCAGGGAAGTTTGCATTCCTGCCTGTAGCACATCTATCCAAGTTTAAAACAGCCAACAGTATTTTAAGTGCCATCGCATGGAATGGGTTTTGTTTCCATTTCTGTGCCACTAATAAGAAACCATGTTGGTTTTAGCCAATGTACCATGGACAATCATTGCTTATGCTGGGTTCTTTCTTTCTTAATTGATTAGGCAGTTCTACCTTCTGAATCCTTCCTAAGTGTTTCTAGACTTTTTCTGTACCACATCCATTTCAAAATGTGTTCATTCATGCAACTTTAAACATTTAGCAATCCACTTCAAAATGTGATTGTTCATGCAACTTTAAAGATTTAGCAACGTCATTTTTTGTTCCCATATTTAACAAAAGAGCTTGAAGGTCAAAGGCATCTTCAAACATTTCTAGTTTTACACTGTAATATAACCAAATCTGCAGTTTGGAGTTGCTTTGGTTTTCCAGTTGGAGTCTAGAATGATGCTTCCTTTTTGCTGCAAGTGGCAGCTCCCACTTCAGTGTAAGCTGACATATATAATATGTTGTTAAAAATAATGACATATTATTTAAGAGGAATGTTCACAGTAAAGAACCCTGCCCTCTCTACCAAACAACCCTCTTTCATCTTGTCAAAAACAGCCTTTAGTCTTCCTTTAAAATGACAAAGGTTTACAGTGTCAATAAACTCCTTGGGATGGCAGTGCTCTAACCAGATTTATTAGCAAAGCTCTTACTTTACCATTATAAGCCAAACGCTGGTACTCAAATGTCATTCATTACAAAATCTCACTTTTTATTTAATGGCTATAACATGTCAGCACTGTCTCCAATGTTCCTTTGATGCAAAAAGACAAGGGGATATGGCAAACTTTGATATGCCACATCCAACCTGAAGTTTGAATTATTTATAAATGCTTGGAAAATTACATGAAATGATAGTGTACGATATGCAATCCATTACCACTACATTCTCAGATCAAAACACAGTAATCACCAACATCATTATCTTGTTTCAGAGCAGTTTCAAGGGCAGCTCACTGGACTGGGATTACAGAGAGTCAGTTTATAAGCCTAGCTCTTCCATGGTCCAAGTAGAAAATTCAAGGAAGTGCCCCCAGCCTCCTCAGCCTCAGTTTCCTCTCCTTTATAGCAGGGGGACTAACACCCATCCTTTCTGTAAAGGGTTTGGACATGATGGGGTACGTAGCTTTTGTATTTACAGTATAGAGGCTGGATATTATTTCTGTTATTACAGTTTTTGTTCTATTTTTACAGGGATATTGTATTATTCCTACTGCTACAGTTTTCTGCCTCCAGGGTGCTGCGTCTTGAGCAAACTCAAATGCAGGCTGGTCAAAGTCGACTGCTGTTTACATTTGAAAAATATTTTAGGAGTGTAAGACCATCCTTTCCACACCAGTGCACTTAAATGTACAGAAAAATCAATAATTTTCTCTACGACTGACTAGGCTTTTTCCAGTAGGTCTTGCACAGTTAAAAAGGCATAAACCACCCTCAAATATAAACAGAAAAAAACTTGCAATAGTGCTAACTGTGCAAAAGTGGATTTTTTTTTTTGTGAGATTTTTACAGAAATACTTTTATGCTTTGATTAACTCCCTGAGACAGAAAACTTTTCTTAAATGAAGAAATATTGTTTAGTCTTTACTTTTATTTATTAATTTTGTCCTTGACTAAGTAATAAAGCCATATTATAGTGTGTTTTAGATTTCAAGCAATTCTTCCTTTCTCCTCTCCTTAAGAATTCTTAATTTCCTGATATAGGTTTCTGTACACATATGCCTTTAGATTGCTTTTTAATATAAAAACTATAGATTAAGATTTTATCATTTGCATTTTATATCAAATAATAAAATTTATATAAAGATAGATAGATAGATAGATAGATAGATAGATAGATAGATAGATAGATAGATAGATATACACACATTCAAAAAACTAAGAGCTGAGAAAGTTCAAGTCAGGGGAAAATCAAGTGACTTTCCAAATCTCTGTTATAACACCAGAGTTTCTATGGTGCTACAGCACCAAAATAAGGGCATTCCACATATGAAAGCTGAGGATTCTTTCAAAAGACAGAATACTTTATCCAAGGTGCTGAGTAGAAAACGAGACAAGCATGGGTGGGCCACCATCTCGACCAGAGATAAAGCCCATCCAGAAAGTTAATTCAGAAGCATCTTTAATTTGCAAAGGGGTTTATTTCCATTCTCACTC